AACCTGTTGTTTTGAGACAAAACCTCACTACGAAGCTGTTGTTGACCTGGAACTTGCTATATAGACCAGGCTGGCCTTGAACTCAAATCTGCCTGCCTCTGTCCCTACCTCCTGAATGCTGGGATTGAAGGTGTGCACCACCATGCTTGATACAACTTTTTTTTAAAGAGGGTAGGGTGGGGATTGTAGGGTAACTCAGCCTTATTATCACACAATCCCTTTTATTAGGAAAGTTTTGTTTGTCATCCTGCACAAAGAGCACTGTTTTGAAGGAACGCTTTCCAGAACAAGAAGTGTTATTCTGAGAAAACAGTACAGACGATAGAAATGTCTGTACTGCTCCCTTTACAAATAAATTGTAGAGCACTGTATTGCCTAAAGTCACAGATAGGGGCTGGCAAAATCCAGGTTGAAACCTGTGTGTGTGTGTGTGTGTCTGTGTGTGTGTGTCTGTGTTCATGTTTATACATGTCTGCACATATTTGTGTGCACATGTGGAGGCCAGAGGACACCCTTAGATTTGTTCCTCCTTCGACTCTGTCCACCTTGTTTTTTGTTTTTAAAAACAATTTGTGTGTGTGTGTGTGTGTGTGTATGTGTGTACGTATACATAGTGTGTCAGGGCACCAGGGTGGAAGTCAGAGGACACCTATGGGGAGTTTGTTCTTTCCTTTTACCTTCTTAAGGCAGGGTCTTCACTGCTGTGTTCTCCAGGCTAGCTGGCCTGTGAGCTTCTAGGTGATTCTTTTATCTCTCTTCCCATCTCACCATAGGAATGCTAGGCTTACAAATGCGTAACACCATATCTGGCTTTTTTTACAAAAAATTAAACTACATTCTTTGTATATGTGTGTGTGTGTGTGTGTGTGTGTGTGTGTGTGTGTGTATGCTACAATACATGTGTGGAGGTCAGAGAACAACTTATGGGAGTCTGTTCTGTTCTTCTCTCTTGGGATCTAGGTTGTCAGGCTTGTGTGATAAGTCCTTTTACTGGCTGAGCCATCTTGCTGGGGTTCTCTGTCTTTCTCCTATATGATCTTTTCCAGTATTTAAAAACTGCGGAAGAATAAAGCTTACCTGTTGGGGACTGTTTGGATAGTTGTAGCTGTTTTTGCTCAGTGGTACAAATAATAATGAAGATTATAAAAAAGTCATTGGTCATGAGTCCGTTTGGTGGCCACTGAGGAAAGGTGTAACATTAGCATCTGTGCCCCACTTAGCTCATTGACAAGGAGAAGTGCATTTAGTACCTGATGAGATGCCAGATAGAATGCTCCCGGTTATGTTTTTAGGAAGTCTTGATAGCATGCATTTTGAAGATAGAACATTTGTTTGAAAGAAATTAGTTTGCATTTGGAAATAAAACAAATGGATTAGAAAAGTTGGTTTTGGCTCTTGAAAAATAAGTTTTTTTTTTTTCAGAAGTGTCTGTGTTTTATACATATTAGTTACTCATTTCTCTTAACACCTGAAAACCAGATCAACTGGTATCTTAGTTTGTTTCTCCATTGCTGTGACAAAACACTCTGACCAGTACCAACTTGGGGAGGAAAGGGTTTATTCAGCTTACATCTCCCAGGTCATAGTTCATCAGGGAGCCCAAGGTAGGAACTCAGGGCAGGAACCTGGAAGTAGGAGCTGGAGCACAGGCCATGGAGGAATGCTACTTACTGGCTCGTTCCCCAGGCCCCTGCTCAGCCTGCTTTCTTATACAACACAGGCCCACCTGCCAAGGGGTGGCACCACCCACAGTGGGCTGGGCCCTCCCACATCACTCATCAGGAAGATGCCCTTTAGACATGGCCACAGGCCAGTACAATAGAGGCAATTCCCCAATCGAGGCTCCCTCAACCCAGGTATGTCAAGTTGACACTAAAGCTATCCAGCACAACTGAGAAGTAAAATTAATACAGGCACTAAAAATGATGAAATTGTCAGTGAGTTTGGGCATATTGCTTAAAAACAGCTCATCTCAGCTGTGCGGCATTGTATTGTATTACATTATATTGTATTGCATTGTTTTGTGGGTTTTGTGCTAGGAATTGAAGAGAAGGCCTTGGGCATACTCGGCAAATATTCTACCACTGACTGAGCTACATCCTAGTCCATTCAGTTCATTAAAAAAAATTAATTTTGGGGTTGTGTGTGGCTGGAGAGAAAGCTCAGCAGTTAAGAGCATTTGCTCTGTAATCATGAAGACCAGAGTTTGGATTCCAGCACCCACATAATCAGCCAGGTGTTCTATACATGCCTGTAATCTCAGCTCTGAAGAGAGTGGGAATAGGAGAGATTACTGGGGTTTGTTTGCTTCTAGCCTAGCTGGGAAACATAAACCTCAGGTTTAGGGCCAGATTCTGCCTCAAAGGAATAGGAGGACTGTAATGGAGGAGGGTACCTGAAGCCCTCTTCTGGCCTTTGCACATCAACACAAATGCATGTACCTGCATACACTCATATACATGTACTTACACAGGCACATAAGCACACTCACAAACAAATATACTCGCAAATAAATAAATCTTAAAACAATTAAGTTTTCTCAATGGCTCATTGGTTGCCAACCATTGTTTCTGCTTTCACTTCACTAAGGAATAAAAATGTACTAAGTTCAGTATGGAGTCAAGGATTGTTGGTAGTGGTGTTTAATGGTGTTTGAATGCTTGAAGTGGTGTGGTTTGAAAAAATTTCACACTGAGAGTTTTCCTGGTTGTGTGATACCGTAGTTCCCCCTTATCCTTAGAGGAATATATTCTAAGATCCCTTAATCAGTGCCTGAGACTGCAGGTGATACATTGTAGTCCCTTAGTAACACTGGGGAATTGGTTCTAGGATCTTCTGGTTGACACTGAACTTTGGATGCTTAAGCTCCTTATGTAACATAATACAGTATTTGCAGATAACTCACAATATCTCCCTGTGTACTCTGAATACTCTCTAGATTACTTACAGTGTCTAGCACTATAATAAAAATAGTTGCTTGGCTGGGCATGGTCCCAGTGCTCAAGAGGCAGAGGTAGGCAGATCTCTCTGACATCAAGGCCAATCTGGTCTACACAGTGAGTTCCAGGCCAACTGGATGAGGAAGACACCCCCCCCCCAATATGAAGAAAACAACAACCAAAACAAACAATAATAGTTGTTTTGGGTTGGAGAGATGGTGCAGCTGTTAAAGGCTCAGGCTCACAACCAAAAATAGTTGCTATAGTATATTGTTAAGGGAATAATAGTAAGACTGAAAAGCCTCTGTATTTGGTACAGGAACATTTGAAGTGCTTTGTACATGGTTGTTGACTTCATGGATGTGGAACCCATGGGTAAGGAGGCCAACTGCATATGTAGTGTTTTTTCATTTACATACATGGCTATGGAAGTAATTTATAAGTTAGGCACAATATGAGATTTATTGATTAATTACTAATTAAACTAGAAAATTTATGCTATAATAAAAGTTATGTGAATGTGGCCTCTGTTAAAGCACTTTTTACTATGCTCTTGTGATGATACAATATATGGTATGGTATGGTATGGTACAAGCACCTCTGTGATGGAATGAAGGGAGGTGAATTAGTCATTCTCACACATAGCCATAACTTTTGTCACTAAAGACGTGACACCAAAACTAGCACACAAATCTTTTTCCTTTTTATAGCTTCTGAGATGGATTTGTTCTTACTGATGATGTTAATGGTCTCAGATTTGTTTTTTTCTTTCCTCATTAAGTCAAAAGCTTTCACCATTCCACTCGAAGTCGTTTATGGCTTCTTTTTGGCATATCTGAATTCCCAGCTTTACTTCTCTTATGCTTTGGGGGCATCCTTAAGTAAAATATGGGTTAGGTGATAGAAACTCTGCAATGTTGTGACAGTTGATCTGATAAGGAAGACTGGTACTGAGTGACAACAGAGGGGAAATATAAACAGGGAGTAAAGGATGACCCTGGTCTCCCAGAGGGGTGAGTAGGACTGTGCAGTTTTCATCGCATTACTCAGAATGTAAAGTTTATGAATTTCCCATTTCATATTTTCAGATCATAATTGGCTGGGTAACTGAAAAAGAAAACAGCAAAACTGTAGATATGAAGGATGCTGTTGTGGAAAACACCTAGCATAGAAAAGAAAATGAGATTTATTTTTATTATCATTGTTACTAACGTTTTAGTGTTCATCTTTTTATTCTAAACAGGTAAAGTTAAGTAGATTTTAAAAAAATTGATCTGAAACAATTTTAAAACATTCAAAATAAATTTAATTATTAAGCTTATAAGATTAAAAATATTTTTTCTAGAAATGAACATTTTTCATGTCTACAATTTGTCCTTTTTATGTAACTTAGAGTTTTGCTGTTTTGAGCTATGAAATATGCAGAAAAATGTATGCATGTCTAGTTTTCTTTAGTATTTCATTTTTTCTGAAAGGCACCCATGTTTTTCTATGATTAGCTTGCTTTCTAGAAATCTCTGGTAGGCTGTGTATTTTATCCTGGGTCACTCTTGTTTCCTTCTCAAAGTCTGAACTCTTAGATTTACTAGTGCTGTGTTACATAACTGAGTGTCTATCTTTGGTGTCTATACTAAGTTCTCTGAGTCACCTGTGGCTCTGTGTTGATGGCAGCCAAGCCAGTCCATGTGCTAAGCTCCATGTTCTCCAAGGGAACAGGAGAGCTACCCTGAGGTCAAAGAATAGAAGGAAAGGGTTAATTTGAAGATTTGACACCAGTTTGCCAACTGGCTGTCAGATGTATAAATTTTTGGTACCAAGTTCACCATGTCACTGTTACTTGTTTCATGACTTGGATGCGGATCAGGTCCTACACTTCACTTCTCCAGTCTGAGCTAAATTTGCCTCCTTTGCATTCTCATGGAGCCCTCCACCCACATCCTACCCTTTTTTCCAGTGTCTCTTTTTGCCTGTAACCAGGTGACTGAGTGAAATCAAGAAATTCTTCGTAATGTTCAACTGAGAAGAGGAAATCTAAATAATGCTTCCCTCTCCTCCAAACAGATCATCATTCAGATCATTGTAATCTAATACCAAAAACAAGACAAATAATTGCATGGATTGATTGAATATCATTATTGAAAGCAAATATGGAAAACGAACCAGACCATGAGAATGTGGAACAGAACCTGTGTGCCAGGACTACTGAAGAAGAGCTGAATAAGTCTTTCAATTTAGAAGCTTCACTTTCAAAATTCTCTTACATAGATCTGGACAAGGAACTGGAGTTCAAAACTGACCTGGTAAGACTTAAATTTTTGCTGAATGATGATTTTTAGAGTAAAGTATTGGCTAGTATGTTTTATGACTCAAATATTCCAAACCCATCATTTTTGCATGTATTAGCCAGAGTCTGTATACAGTTTTATAAAATACCATCACTCTTCATTTGTGTAGCCCATTGCAGTTTATGGAACACTTTGATTCTCACCACACTGATGATCCACTTTGTAGATGAAGACAGTGGTGCACAGTGCTTTTAAATGACTTCTCAAGGTCGCAGAGCTAATAGTGGTATTAGAATTCTTATCTTGTACCACAATTATTTCCTTTACTGATTGAATATTAGTGAGTTTCTGTGACTGTGAGAATATTTAACAACAACTTTTTTTGACCTAATCATCCTGTATAATGGAAGAGCTAAGAATTTCTGTCTCAGGCTTTGGGGGTTCAGTCAGTGTGTACCTGGCCTTGATAGCCGCTGAATGTGTGGCTAGCAATTACTGAGCTGAGTGTATGATCCAGTTAGTGCTAACTTTGTCTTTTGATTGACAGTGGTTCTTGTTATTTAAAATATCCTCACAGTTAAAAGGAAAAGCTCTATTATGTGAACTTTAATTTCTGTATTTAGATTGATGACAAGGAGTTTGATATTCCTCAAGTCGATACTCCTCCAACACTGGAAAGCATACTAAATGAGGTAAGTAAATATTAATGATCACTGTCACTTTGTAGCATTGATTTTTTTTAATGATTTTTGGGCTAGTTACATTGTATATGAATTTAGCTGTGTACTATCCAGTATGACTGCCACTAGTTAATGTGTCAACTTAAAATTCATGTTTATTATAGTTAACTAATACTTCAATTTCTCAGTTGTACAGGCACGTTTCAGAAGCTCAGTAGCCATGTGTGGCTAGTATCTAGTGATCAACATAGACACAGAATATCTCTGTCACTGCAGAAAGCTCTGTTGGACAGGATTGGTCTGGATTTGAACCTCTCAAGGGCAGAAACCATGTCTTGTTCATTTTATCCTTTTTAAATTTTTATTTATTTATCAAATTTTTAAAATATTTTATTTATGAGTATGAGCGTATGTGTACTGAGTGTATGAGTATGAGTGTATGAGTGTATTGCCTGCATGTAAGTGAGGGCACCTGTGTCATGCAGTGCCATGGAGGTCAGAAGAGGGCTTCAGATTCCCCAGGAACTGGAGTTAAGGACAGTTTGCAGCCACCATGTTTTGGTGCTGGGTGCTGGGAATTGAACCTGGGTCCTCTGCGAGAACAGAGCCATCTCTCCAGCCCCTTTATCCTTAAAAAAAAAAAAATTCTCATATCCTTTTGAAAATATTTTGTTGAATTTTGAAGAATTTCATACAATGTATTTTGATCATATTTGGATTCCCCCCTTCTATCTGTACCCCTCTTACTGCTGTGGCCTGATTTCATTTACTCTAGTGTGTGTGTGTGTGTGTGTGTGTGTGTGTGTGTGTGTGTGTTTTATTTTAAAAAAATTTTATTTTATGTGTATGAGTGTATTGCCTGCATGTATGTAAGTGCACCTGTGTTGTGTAATGCCTATGGAGGTCAGAAGAGGCCATCAGATATCCTAGAACTGGAGTTACAGATGGTTGTTAGCTGCTATGTGGGGGTTGGGAACCAAACTAGGGTCCTCTGCAAGAGCAGCCAGTGCTCTTAACCACTGAGCCTTCTCTCCAACACCATGTGTTTTTTTTTAAAGGCTTATTGAGTCTAATTTGTACCCCCCCAAATGCCCTTCAGTATGGGGCTATCTTGTGGGAGCCTGGTTAACCCTACCCAGTGTCACACTTTTAAAGGAGACTGACTCTTCCCCTCTCAGTAACTGTTGGTCGTGAATAGTTCCTCAGCTAAGGCTGGGGATTTCCTATCTACTGTCCCACTTCTGTGCTGGGATTTGCCTGTCTTGAGTTTGAGTAGGTCTTATGTTTGCTGTGAGTTCATATGAGTAACTGCCCAGCTGTCTGGAAAATTGTTTCTTTATGGTTGCGCATCAACTCTGACTCTTAGAATCTTTCTACCCCACTTCCACAATGATTCCTGAGCCTTGGGAGGCAGAGGTTTATTATGGGTGTCCTATTCAGGGCCAAACACCTCTTCAGTCTCTTACTCTCTGCACATTGATCAGTTCTGGGTCTCTGTGTTAATCACCATCTGCTTTGAGGAGGCTTCTCAGGTGAGAGTTGTGAGATGCATTAATTTATGGGTATAACAATAAGTTAGTAGGAGTTGGTTTAATACTATGTCTATTTACAGAATAATAATGATAGGTTCTCTCCTATGACCTGTGACCTGTCTAGCCACAAGTTTCTAGGATTGATATCTGTCAGGTATGGGCTCCATCTTGTGAAGCGAACCTTAAATCCAATCAGAAAGTGGTTGATTATCCCATAACATTCATGCCACTATTTCACCAGTGGGCATATCTTGCCAGGCCAGTTGTTATTGTAGCTTGCAGGATTCACAGCTGAGCAAGGTTGGTGACTACTTTCTCTTCAGGTAGCATGTATAACACCTTCCAGCACTATGAAAGAGAATCAGCAGAGATGAAGCTTTGAAGTCAACACTAGCTTGATTTCTCCTTATTTGTTCTTTATCTCATCTATATGTCTTCAGCAATAGGGTCTTACTATCAAGTTCTGGTGGCTAACCAAGAGCTGGGACAATAGCCAGTATTGTTTGAGGGTCTGTGGGACCCCTGGTCAACAGCTTCAAAAGAGGTAGTCCATTCCTGGCATTGTCTGGCAGGGGCAATGTCTCTCTGTTACAGGGTGACTTCATTTAATCTTTTTTTATTATATATATATATATATATATATATATATATATACACTTTAAGAAGCTTCTGTAGTGGTAGGCTTCCATATGACTTTTTCTAAAGGCCTTTAGAGTTAGTTATCCCTCCTCTTAGTTCCTCGTATGCTTTACCCTTCTATTCCTTACCCCATTTAGTCCTTCCTACGCCATTATTCCCTTTCTTCTGTTTATAGCCCTCCATTCTATTTCCCCTCCCATGAATCCTCCCCCACTGTGACCCCTTACTAGTTTCCTGACTGCTATGGATTTTCTGATTGAAGCAGGCCTATCTAAAGATTCAAAGCCAGCATCCACTTAGGAGAGAGAATATGTGCTGATTCTTTCTGAATCTGGATTACCTCACTCAAGATAATTGTTACCAGTTTCATGCATTTAGCATGCAAATTTCATAATTCGTTTTTCTTGACAGCTGAATAATAGTCCACTGTGTAAATGACCATACTTTATTATCCATTCATCAGTTGATAGACATCTAGGTTGTTTCCATTTTCTAGCTATTGTGAATAGAGCAGCAGTGAACATGGATGAACAGATATCTCTGTAGTAAGAGAGAATCCTTTGGGTACATGCCCAAGAATGGTATGGCTGGATCATCTGGTAGATTTATTTCTAGCTTTTTGAGAAATCTCCACACTGATTTCCATAGTAGCTCCACCAGTTTGTACTTCCACCATTAGTGAATAAGAGTTCCTCTTCCCCTATCACCTTGCCATCATTTGTCGTTTGTGTTTTGGATCTTAGCCATTCTGACTGAGGTAAGATGAAATCTCAAAGTAGTTTTAATTTGTATTTTCCTGATGACTAATGTTGAGCATTAAAAATTGTATTTGCAATTTGTATTTCATCTTTTGAGAACTCTGTCTAGTTCTTTGCCCCAGTTTTTAATAGGGTAGGTTTTTTATGTTTAATTTTTTGAGTTCTTTGTATAGTCTAGATACTGACGTTGTGTCAGAGGTGTAGCTGGTAAAGATTTTTTCCCATTGTGTAGGTTGCCTCTTTACTTGAGTGATGGGTGTCCTTGCTGTACAGAAGCTTTTTAGTTTCATGAGGTCCCATTTGATGTTTGTTGGATTTAATGCCTGTGCTATAGGAGTTCTGTTCAGAAAGTCTTTTCCTGTGCCTTTAAGTTCCAGTGTATTCCCTACTTTCTCCTACCAGATTCAAGGTATCAGGTTTTATGTTGAAGTCCTTGATCCATTTGGAATTGGGTTTTATGCATGGTGAGAGATAAGGATCTAGTTTCATTCTTCTACATGTAGCGATCCAGTTTGAAGATGCTATCATTTCTCTGATGTGTATCTTTGGCCTCATTGTCAAAACTCAGGTGGGTATAAGTGAGTGTACTTAAATCTAGTCCTCAATTCTATTCCATTGATCAGTGTGTCTGTTTTTATGCCAGTACCATGCTATTTTTATTACTACAACTCTGTAGGTATAATTTGAGATCAGGGATGGTAACTCCTTCAGCAACTCTTTTATTATTCAGGATTGTTTTGGCTGACCTCAGTTTTCCATGTGTCTATATGAAATTTGAGATTATTTTTTCAATTTTTAAGAATTGTGTTGGAATTTTAATGGGGATTTTGTTACATCTGTAGATTGTTTTTGGTCGGGTGGCCATTTTCACAATATTAATCCTAGCAATCTCTGAGCACAGGAGGAGGTCTTTCTGGTATCTCCTTCAATTGCTTTCTTCAGTGTCTTAAGATTTTTATTATGTGTCTTTTGTTTTTTCTGCTTTCATCCGATATTGGCTGTGAGTTTGTTGTTTATTGCCTTTATTAGGTTGAGATATGTCCCATGTATCCCTAGATTCTCTATGATTTTTATTATACAGTGGTGTTGGATTTTGTTAAAGGCCTTTTTTGCATCTAATAAGATGACCATATGGTTTTTGTCCTTGAGTCTGTTTCTGTGGTGGATTACATTTATTTATTTATGTATGTTGAACCATCCCTTCTCTGGGCTGAAGCCAATTTGATCACGGTGGATAATCTTTTTCATGTGCTCTTGCATTTGGTTTGCAGTTTTTTGTTTTTTGTTTTTTGCCTTTTTGAGACAGTGTCTCCCTGTAGGCCTGGAACTTGCTATGTAGACCAGACTGGCCTTGAACTCAGAGAGATCCTCCTGTCTCTGCCTCCCAAGTGCTGGGATTAAAGGCATGCACCACCATGCCTAGCTGGTTTGCAGATATTTTAGTTGAGAATTTTTGCATCTATTTTCATCAGAAATATTGACCTATAATTTTCTCTTTTTTGTTGGATCTTTGTCTGGTTTTGGTATCATCATAATACTGGCTTCATGAAATGCCCTGGCCTGCGGGGTCTGCAATGGGGTGTACCTGGATTGGGGGGTGGGGCTGTGGATGAGGCAAGCGACAAGAGAAATGGAGACAAGACAGTGCTCTGATCAAGTCTCGTTTATTAAAGCACAAGCACGAGTTTAAATAGAGAATGAGAACAAAGAAGTGAAGAGTGAGTAATCAAATCAATCAGAACACAGGGCCTGAGTACTCTAAGGGAGGAATCTACTGATTAACGGAGAACAGGGCTGTTTACTGGAAAAGAGAACAAGGCTGTGGGCCAAGGTTGCGGACCCCGGCTGTGAGCCAAGGTTGTGGCCTGAATGGAAAAGTCACCAACTCAGGTCTGCTAGCAGCCCCCAGAAATGGCTGAGCCTCAGGCTCCCAACAGGTCCCCCTTTTTAACTTTATAGAGTTTTAGGGATCGAAGGTTGCTAAACCCTTAGGGAACTGCGCCTGTCTTAGGTTGGAGTATCCTTCCCCAAGGGCTTACCCATCATTAGATAAGGTAGTAGCATTAGACTACCCTCCTGTCTT